TGTGGGACTTTATGTTTGTGGGACTTTATGTTTGTGGGACTTTATGTATGAACTTCTTTTGGGGAGTGGTGGCGCAGAGGTTAGAGAAGAGCCTGTGATCAGAAGGTCGCTGGCTCGACTCCCGGACTGACAACATCAAAGTGTGGGTGGGAAAGGTGAAACACCCACACCTGCCTCCACCCTAGAGTTGCATTCGGGCCTAAAAACTCCGACCCCATCCCGTAGCCATCTTTTTCAAATCCAATCTGACCAGTTACCTGTAGTTACAGGCCCGACATAATTTTTTATTAAACATTTACTGCTTTTGTAAGCAAATCAGTTTGACATATTTTAAAAACATATTTCAAAGAAGGAAATATATCAGATTTCTTGTTTATTAACAAGTCACCAATTGGAAATTAACATACAAAACGAATAGTCTTAAAAAAATCAACTCTAAAGATTATTATACATATATATTGTGTATATATATATAATATATATTATACAGATGAACAAAAGTATTTTTAGAGCAAAGTTATTTGGAGAAATATAGAACAATGTTATTTTAATTGAACGCGCTGCTCGCTTCGGCTTTTGTAGCTTCAAATGCTGGAACTTCCTTCACCGCAGAGAACAGCAGGGTGCGGAGCAGGACGCGCGCGGCCGGTGATCCATCTGAGCTTAACTGGACTTTTTTTTTACCTCTTTAAACGCACTTGTCGGACCTGCCTCCTCCTCAACAAGTAGCTTAACAGTTTTATATTGTGCGTTCTTATTTAGTTTTCTTTGGACTGTGATTCGTAAAGCCGCATCGAAAGCCAGAGGCTGACCTGGCCTGGATTTAGAGTCGGTTTAGATCTCGCAGCTCTACCCTTGAGCAAGGCCTTGAACCCCCACCATCTGCTCCCCCGGGTGCCCTAGTCAGCAGCTCTCTGCTCCACACGGAGAGATGTGGTAGCTCGGTGGTCTGTGATTGTGTCGGGAAGGACATCCGACGTAAAAACAATTTCTAAGTCTTCGAATGAGTTTGTTGTGATGAGGGAGCAGCCGGGAAAAAAAAAACTCTTACGAACTTTAATCTAAAATCTAATAAATTGTGTTTGACACTAAAATTAAATCTTTTTGAATGTTTGTGAATAAATGAAATCCAAAGATTATTGTTGTGGTCATTAAATTTGTCCCCCCCCACCGTTCGTTTTACACCCAGGCATCGATGTGGAGCAGGTTTCTGTGGTGATCAACTTTGACCTGCCCGTTGACAAAGATGGCAACCCAGACAACGAGACGTACCTGCACCGGATTGGACGCACAGGTCGATTTGGGAAAAGGGGACTGGCCATCAACATGGTGGATAGCAAGATGAGCATGAACATCCTCAACAGAATCCAGGAACATTTCAGTAAGTCCCTCAGCAGCTTCATGTAGTTTCTCACCAGACTGAGCTGCAATTATCACGTCCATTTTAAAAATGTATGATTTATAGTTTGTTGTTCAACTCAGGAACATGACGGCTTCCTGTAATTTACCATATTTACCTTTTTCTTTGGTTTCCTTACAGACAAGAAGATTGAAAGATTAGACACGGATGATCTGGATGATATTGAGAAGATTGCCAGCTAAAGGACACACACGATCACAAGGAGGAAGCAGGTCCAACTTCCCTTCTCCTCCTCGCTCTCCACGGACTGTACGCTTCGTTTTTTTTGTTTTGGCTTTTATTTTTTATTTTTAGCTGTCAGAGAAAAGAGCAAAACCACACACACACACACACACACACACACACACACACACACAGTGTATGTTTACACGTGGACACGTCTCCTCTCAGACAAATGTTTTGTAAATCCCTCAAACATACCCTATTTCACTCTTTGTACTTATTTAAATAAAGTTTGTGAATTTAATGCCGTGTATTGTAATGCTGTAGAATAGAGCACAGTCAGTACATTTATTTGAACATTTAAGAATTTTAAAAGCCGTGTTGTGGCAAGGTCATTTGTGAAGCTTGAATAAAATTTTTATAGGTGGAAAAAGTGCCACAAAGTTTTTAATTTCAAACTGAATGTAACCGAGCCTTCGTTGGGCTTTAATCTTTTAAACAGGAGTACAAAGGGTGAAAGCTGGGTATGCTGCTCTGAGCGATGGTTGTGTTTGAGATGGTGATGGTTAGGGTTTAAAGGGTCTATGCAAACTTATCAGCCTGTGATAGCTATTATCAAATACTATCAACCTTTATTTAAATTAAAATAACCTCGTCTTTAGTATCAGGATACGTAGTCAAATGCCAAAAAATAAAGGCTGCCAAGAGTGATACTAACTCCAAGTCGTACACATACAAGTATTTGTCCTCCAGCCTCCTCGTCACTCATTTCATCACTTCTCTCACGCATGATGCCGTTTGATTTTTAAAAGCCAACAACGGCCACAATCAGGGCAAGCTTGGCTCCAAGCATTAATCACAAGTCGTCTTTTGTTCTTTCAGACACCAAATCTCATTTAACTCCAGATGTTACTGTACGGTCTGACGTGACTTCTTTCTTTGTGTCTCCCAAGTTTTTCAATCAGGGTTTCCAGTTTGACACTTTAGCTCAAATGACATGTTTCATCCAGCCGGAGCTGGTAAAAAGGATTGTGAGTTACAAAAAAAAAATACACAATGCCTTAAGTGCATTATATAGCTATTTATATATATATAAACATGATTTTGATATGGATATTCTAAGACAATGGGCTTAATATTCTGAGTAACACTTGAAATTTTTGATTATATATTGAATTCCGGGCGCCTTTAGGATGTGTGAATTATCTTTTTGAAACCAAATGCTGAATTGACTTGAGGACCTACGCTAATTAGACGTACAGTGCATGAATACAAAACATTTGTGTACATAGTGAAAATTTTGTTATAGAAATGTGTCTGAATTGAGTTTGTCACTTCTAAGAAGTGAGAAAAACATTCCTCAGACGACAGATGCAGTACTCTGAATACAGCGAGCTTAAATCGGTGAAGTTGCATTGGTTGGGTGACTAAAAAAAATACATCAAGAACGTGCGATGTCTGGTATTTTTTTGTTCGGAGAACTGGAAATCTGAACCAGTCGGAACCTGCGGCAAACCTTGTGTCTCCCGGCAGCACAGAGAAGACGGCTGCTGGTTTCCTGATTTTAACGGGCTGTTTATGGACTTCTTGCTGGAAAATAACTCACTGAACAGATGCAGCCAAATTACAAGGAAGTGACCTGAAAACACAGAACGGTCTGAAGACGTTTTATTAGGACACTTGGATGTATTCATTACGAGCGTGTGTGTGCACTTTGATGATCCATAATGTAACGCCTCAGAACCATGGACTCAGCAGTTTTGGCTGTAGAACGCAACACCTTTCCCCACTCATTTACCTTGTTTGATCATTTTGAGCACGTACAAAACCCCGTTCACACATGTCTACATCGACTACCAGAAAGTTTTCTGACGGTAGAGGACGGTGGACTCGAGGCGCGTGTTCTTCTGTAGCTGAGCTGTGTTCATGGACGCTTGTGTATTAATATTCTGAAATAAACAAACAGGTGTTCATGTTGCTTTTTGTTTATTAATTTTTATATTAAAAATACTTATTCAAGTAGTCGTCTTCCGGCCACTGAGGTCTGTGCATGTTCTCCCCGTGCACGCGTGGGTGTTCTCCCCCAGACAAAAACATGCATGTTAGGCTAATTCATCCATCCGTCCGTTCTCTTTACCTGCTTTTTCCTTTCGGGGTCGCAGAGAGAAGAGGTGCACCCTGGACAGGTCTCCAGTCCATCACCCAGGGACAATTTTAGAGTGACCAGTTGGCCTAACGTGCATGTTTTTGATCTGTGGGAGGAAACCAGAGTAACTTGTACCTCTCACGGTGACTGCTGGAGATGGGCACCAGCTGACCCAGAACAGAAAAGCAGGTAAATGAGAGGGATGGAGGGAGCATCAACCTTTTGCATTTTCAGTGGAGGTCAGCTGATCTGAAAACTGCAGGTCTAGAAAAAGCAGAGAAAGAATTACCTCAAACATTTCCAGATAAAAAGCAACATAGCACTGTAAATCATAAATATGTCCCTAAACAATATAACACTTTAAAGTGATGCGCAAAGACATTTTTCAATGGGTTAAGTGTTTTAAAAGACATGACAGACTAATTCATTTCCAGAAAACAAAACAATCTATGTGATAAAGACGTGTTTAAAAGAATGTCAAAATGCTCAGTTTCTACAGTGAAGCCACATCTTTTAACAGCTAAAATGTATTTTGTTAACTGGGTTGAATTTATTGGGTTTAATCTAAAAACGTCAGGTCCTCTGGACGGGTTCAAAAAACCAACAAGTTGTAGAAACGTTTCGTCTTTCATCCGAAAGACCTTCAGTCTGAGGCGCTGTATTCAGCTCAGTCTTATAAACAGCACCTTCTCTTATGCCCCTTTTGCACTCAGCTCAGCCCTGCTCGGCCTGGCTCAGCTCAGCCTGGATTTGCACCTGCACTTTAGGACCCATTCTGGAGGCACGTCCAGAATCCAAGTCCTGCTCATGAGAGTTCTGCTAGGAGTTACTCAGAGCAGTCTGCTCCTCAGATAAATAATATTAAATTATTATTTTTATATATGAATGTTTCTGTTCAGTGCCCTGACACGACTTCTGTTGTGACTTGGCGCTTTATAAATAAACTGAACTGAATTAAATCTGATAAACCAGATTCTACAAAAACATTTATATTTAAATTAAAAAAAAAAAGTTAAGTCTGGTCCTGATGTTGAGGTCAGGGTTCTGTGTCAACTCCTTCCACATCAAACGCTAACTCGTCCCGTCTTTAAAGTCCTTGTTCTGTCCACTGGACTACAGTCATGTTGGAAAAGTTACCACAAAGTTGGAAGTGTCACCTTGTCCAAAACTGGCAGTGTTACGTTTTGGGATTCACTGCGCAGACATAACTTTACCAAATGACAATAAAAATCAAGCAACAGATTTTTATGTGAGTAAAAGTTTAGTTGTGTTATTAAATGTAGATATATAAAATTCTGGAGCTTTACAGAGTGAATCGTCTCGTAGTCCTCCCTCACCTGACTCTTTGTAGTCCACGCTCGTGAGGAAGAGGCCGCGAGTTGGAGCAAGAATATTCTGAGGGTAGGCCCGAGTGTCCCGAGCCTCCAGAATGTCTGCTAGCTGAGACAGGGACATGCGGCCCTGACCTACTGCCACCAGCGCTCCGGTCATCCTCCGCACCTGCAGCAGAGAACCAGAGTTTTACTGCTGCGCGGCAGGACGTTCCCTTAGATATTTACCGGTCACTGCAGAGACGGTCTTATTTTGTGATTCGTTCAATAATTGCCAGAAGATGGTGCTACTAACAACCACCCCTTCACACATCAGTAAAACTGACATTTCTAGGAAATTAAGAGCAACAAACCTGTTTATAGAGAAATGATTGACTTCTGAAAGTCAGCTCCAACAATGGCATCTCTCTGAAAAAAACAAAACTGTTGTTACTCTAGAGATGTATACAAACAGCACTCGAGACGTCTCCTGAAGACATGATGGGACTTAGGCTGGCTGATTCATTGCAACCAAAAGCTGCTATAGGGGTTAAAGTGTGACAGTGTTGTCAGGGCTTTATTCAAAATGATTAGAGCAAATATAAAGGAGCATAAAATCCTTTATTATTAATTATTTTTTTAAAGAGGAGGGGAATATCCATTTAGTTACTTCTTAATACCTTGTCTGCGAGGACAGCATCAGAGGCTGAAGTGACATTCAAGATAAAGACTCTTCTGGTGCACGTCCTTATTTTCTTCCTTGTTGACAGTCTTGTTGAAAACAACAAAGTCCATGCTCAATTGTTGTGTGTTTCCTTGACTGATGAAGCTTTCCGGACCGAAGGCAAAACGTTTCAGCACAAAAAAAAAAAGAAACTGTCCAGATGACCTGACTGAAAAATGTTGGATTGTATACCTGGATTATTGAGCATGGACTTTGTTGTTTTCAACCAGTTTGACACGACCGTCAACAAGGAAGAGGGACGGCAATGGAGGAGGGGGCGTACCAAAGAGACCATCTTATCACAAGAAGAACTGGTTTGTTCCACTTTGGAGTAAGCTGTTGGGGGAAGAATCAGTTTTGTTGAGTGTTTCCTTGACTGATGAAGCCTTCTGGATCGAAGGCGAAACGTTTCAGCACAAAAAAAAAAGAAACTGTCCAGATGACCTGACTGAAAAATGTTGGATTAACAGCTTTAATTCATTACAGGTTTACTTTGCATACAAGAACAGTTCAATTAACTTTTAATTCTAATCAAAATTCTTTCTGTTCTCATATCTATGAAGCTAATGCCAATAGATTTATGTAAATCAATAACATTGTGTGATTGTAGTTCTTCTGCAGATAAAAAGCCAGAGGAAGCTCTGAGCGAAGGACAGAAGCTCCTGCTCGTCAGTGTGCATTATTTGTTGGAGTGCCCCCCCAGTGGCTAAATCTACCTGTGAAAGTATGAATGTGCGAAGGAGTTCCCTGTCTGTATGGAAACCACAGCCATCGTCTTCACAGGACTTTTATACACTTCTTCATGGCTGTTTGCTGCAAAGCTGCTGAAATCATGAGTCCCAGCCAGCAGGGAAGCTGCGTCCCGCATGGCTCCCACATCCAGCACTCTGAAAAACAAGTCATTTTGGAAGACAATAAAGATAAGAAGGCCCTGCAGTCACATCTTGCTAAATCAGTTTCATTGCCTGTTGTGATACTGTGACGAGCTGAAAGTGACGTCCATAAACGGCGAGGCTGCACAAGAGTACACAGGAAGTACGATGGAATTTCAGGTCTCCTTGTTCCCATTTCTGAGTGAACTTATATAATATTAACGTTCTGAGGGATGAGGCCACGTGAGAGAGCAAAGCATGCCGGCGAACGGCTCATTTGAACGGCTGAGTGAGATTGGACCACGGGTCGGACTCTCTGCGGCTTCGTGCTTCCGTCACTGCTGACAGGAGGAGGGATGGAGAGAGCCGGAGGATGAAGCACTGCGCTAAGTGACCGACCAATTAAATTCTTAATGTTCTCGTGTCAAACCTTAAACACGAGAAGAAGTCAGATCAAGTCCATATCTCGTCAGTGTTGATGACTCATTTTCCCATGAAAGGGCTTTTAAAACAAAAGCAAGGTAATTGTAACGAGAACTGCCAACGGCGCATTATACTCTCGTCAGTAAATTGTCAGAATAATTAAAATCCAAAGCAACAATCCTGAATACTTGTGTCTACCAGCGGGAAACCCTCTGCGCCTTCTGTGCCTTCGGAGAAGGCCTAAGAATTTTTCAACGTGAAAAGTAACATTTAAATCTTTATTGAATATGTATTGTATACAAAATATATATTTTCAATGTACTTTTTCTGTTTTTAAGCTAATTTCTCTTGTTTTCTGTAAACTACTTTCCAGTTGAGCAAGAAAGTTTTTTAATTTATGAAAATAGTTATCCACTCAGATCGTTTAAAGTTTTTGTTTCCAGGCAGAAACAGGTTTGAAGAAGCTTTGCCATTGGTTGGGACTTCACAGTCAGGAGAAAAGGCACTGATTTTTTAGGGGTGGCCATTGCTTTGAATCAAACAATAAGAGCTTAAAGATTTCCACCCCTTGACAGAAAGATGCATGTTTTGTAAGTTGATCTGTACTTCGAGTCCATTTGGATGCTGCAAGAAGTAGTTCATGGTGCCATCATTTGTCTGTGTGCTTTTCTGCAACCAAGTAAAACAAAGATTAGCTATGGTAAGCAAATGATGGCTTCATGTGTCCCTGAAACTGACCTCAAAACGAGCTATAGAATCATCACCCTTAGCTTTATTTGATCACAAGATATAAAGGTCAGAATAACTTTACAGGTACAGTAATCAACCATTGATTACAAAATAAACTGTCTTTTAATAAATCTGCTACGTTCAAATGACTAAAGACGTGAAACAATCTGATATTTCTTGCAGTGGGGAAGCGGTTGTGATGACGAGGGAGGGAGCGGCAGATCAAAGAGAGAACAGAGAGACGCTGCTGAGGCTGAGAAGCTCGGGGGTGAAAAGACGAGATGAGGACTGAACATGAGAGAGGGATAAAGAAACAGAGACGTCAGGGAGAGAAATTACAGAGAGGGAGAATGGAGAGAGACTGAAGGATAAATTGGAGAGAAAGAGAAAAGTTGGAGTCAGAGTGGGGGAAAGAAGAAACCTGGCTAAAATGTGTGGGTGTTGTTCAGCATGTGTAGAAGCCTGCAGCTCATCCTGCCCTACTTTCCCTTCAAAAAATTAAAAGCCTAAAGAGCAGACAAATGCTCAAACATACATTCTCTTACGTTTTTCTTCGTGCTCACTCCTTTCAACGCTTGAAAGCCTTTTTACCTTCTGTCCTTGTGTTTTCCTCTTTACCGCCTTCATGATTGTTTCTTCACGTCAGCTGACATAAAACACTCTCACAGTCCCCATTTATTTTTATGATGGACATATGGATTATCCATGTGTTTAACGTCCAGTGAGCTCGCTGCACGACGAGACTGAGCATTAAGCTCGAGTTCTCTCGGCTCTGCTCGCTAAACGAAGGAGGATAAGAAGATGTGAATGAGCGGTGCGGTGTATAAACTGGCTTCACTCACTTGTTGCGGAGGCCCCAGCACAGATCACACTCTGTGAGTGGAAGATGATTGTAGTTGGAGACACCCAGTGCTATTCTGTAGAGGTAGGTCCGAGACCGAGCACGGAAACGGGCGTGGAAGTCACTAGGAACACGGTGAGCTCGAGTGACCCTAAGACAAAACAATAAGTAACTAGGGGATCAACTCAAGCCTTAAAAGCAGTGGGATCAAGTGATGTTGGTCAGCAAGTCTTCATGTTTTATGAACTTTTCCTTTGGTCTTCAGCAGCTTCTTTGAGTGCTGGTTTGACTTTGTTAAACCATTAAACTCTGACAAGTCAGGCATTACTCAACAGATAAAAATATTTGTCTAATCACCAAATAACTCATTTTAAATGGGAAAGGAACCGTCCAGATGACCTGACTGAACATTGTTGGATTTTATACCTGGATGATTGAGCATGGACTTTGGCGTTTTGAACCGCTTTGGCGTGACTGTCTCAGAGGAGCTGACGGGGGAGAGGGCGGGCCCAGAGGCCATCTTAGCACCAGTCAACTCGTCTGTTTGTTTGTTGGTGGCTCCTCAGATCGACGAAGTCCTTCGTCAAGTTAAGGTTCTTTAGTGTCATTCTCATCACATGTGGTACGTGTGATGGAACAAAAATGAGTACACACGGTCCCAGTTACATCCAACAAAAGTATAAATTGTAAAGAAAAACAGTAGTAAGATCTGAGATATGAACTAAGGATGAAGGACGAAACGTCTCAGCAAACAGAAAAAGAAACCGTCCAGATGACCTGACTGAACATTTCTGCATTTTAAATGGACTCTTTAGACACGCGGTTACAAGCACCTTGTCACAAAACAATTTATCCCCAGTTCTTTTGCTGAATCTCTGGAAAATACTAAAATGAACTCATTTTCACACCAACATGATGACTTAAAGAACTACTAGCTGAAAACTGGAGTAGGTTATAAACTAAGGGATGATAAATCTCTTCTTCTTCTTTCAGCTGCTCCCTTCTTCAGGGGTCGCCACAGAGAACTAACTCACACTTGGCGATTATTTTTACGCCGGATGCCCTTCCTGACGCAACCACAGATCACCGAGCTCCCACAGCCCTCCGTGTGGAGCAGATGGTGGGGGTTAAGGGCCTTGCTCAAGGGCCCAGAGTGGAGCAAATGAGGGTGGAGGCAGGTGTGGGTGTTTCACCTTTCCCACCCACATTTTAATGCTGTCGGTCCAGGGAGTTGAACTGGTGACCTTTCGATCACAGGCCCACCTTCTCCAACCTCTGCACCACCACTCCCCTTGTTTTTAATCATCCCTATTATCATTATCACGGGATTATTAATCTCTAAGGTCTTTAAATAGATTTATTTCTTGCAGCATTACTTTCAGAGACTTCATGTGCTGTAGACGGACCTTTACACCCGACACTTGTTCACCTTCCTCTTTTAAGACAGACTGCACAACACGCCGTCATGGTCAGACTCTGGACTGAAAAGGACAGAAAAAGCAGCCAAAATCTAAAATAAATAAACTTGGAAGGGCCTTCAGGAAGTTTTGTAAAACTACTCATCAAAAGCACCTCAAAAGAAGAGACGAGAGTTGGACTTCCTGAAAGCAAAGGATAAAGAAGTTGATGTGGTTTTAAACCGTTATGTCTTGAACTAGATCCATTCATGAAATACGTAGCACATTCTGCTAAGAAATATTATTTTACAAATAAAAGCAAAAACATTGAATAATTTAACAACTAAACACTTATCTTGTTCATATCTTCCTCTGATGGTCCCAGAACACAGACAGTAAAACAACAGCATAAAAAAACTCTGGATTTATCCAAATTGCCAACAAAGCGGCTGATGCACACAAAGGTCCACCTGCTGTCAGAGGTCAAAGGGCAGCCAGGAGCTCAGAGAAGCCCAGTGCTTCTAATAACGCCGTTAGCAGCAGACAGCTCACAGGCCGGGGCTCTTGGATATGATTCAAGCAGAAAAACACTTCCTGTGCGTCTGTGTGCAGAACAGGCCAGAGGCAGGAGAGATGGAGCAGTTGGTGTAGAACAACAAGTTTAGGGCATTTCTCTAATTGGGCAATGTCAACTTGACACAGATTAATAAACGAGTCTTCTAGTCTTTCGTGGTTTTTTGTAGTTTTATGAAACAAAACTGAAGATTTCCAACAATTTGTTGCTTTAAAAGCTCAAAAAAAAAAAAAAATCGAGAATTTTACAGCAGCAATTTTGAACAAGATATTTCAGTCTCAATGACAGTAGTGCACAAATAAAATGCATAAAGACGCTTCCAACCTGGTTTGTAATATCAGAAAGACTTGTTAGGTTTTTTACTTGACAATTTAAGGTTAAAAAACAAGAAAATAAAGCAACAGTTGCTACAATCAGGAAAAGTTGGTACATATGGAAAATATAAAATATAAGAAATGTAACATATAACGTATCAAGACATCATTTTGATGTTTGTTGAGTGGTAACGTTACAAAGTGGCGCATGCTTTAGCACATCCTTTAACAACTTATTGAAAGCCTGGAATGGATATCTATCACCAAGGAAGGTACAAGGCACGTTAGCCACGATCAAATGCATTGTGCTTTGTTGCGTGGATGTTTATTTAGATCCAAAGAAATGTGTATTTGTGTGTGTGCCTGCACGATTAAAGAAACTAGGTTACGTTTCCAGGGGAGGAGATTGAGTGCGACACGTGGCACAGGAAGCCCTCGTGTCTGCCTTCAGCGACACCTCCGATATGAACCGACAGCTTTCGCCCGGACCCTGCGCCACACACCAGCATCAATCTTTTATAAGCACAGAACAAAGCGTGGCCACAAACATGAGAAATGGGGCACAGTTTGGTGCGGCACCATTCTGCTGCTCAGCACTTTCACCATGAGGGAGGAAAAAACCAGTGATTTTAGACTGAACCAGGCCCGTCTGCACAGCAGCAGAGCAGACGAGCACAGAACAAACAGAAGAGATGTTTGTTACAGTGTGCAGTCTGGGCTTAATGCTCGTCTGGGCTCTTTATTTCTGGAGGCAGCAGAACAAAGCTTCGAGCCAGGAGCCGTACTGGAGCAGTTGCTGACACCAAAAAATAATTTTGATGGTTACCAGTTCTCACTAAAATAAAAAGATAGTGATGGACAGATTGAGAATAGAAACTTTGATTCAGTCTTAAGATACGGAGTGTGTTAGTGGATGAACAGATGGCTGAGCGACACAGACACTGAAATTACCGTACCTTTTGCTGTATAAGTCGCACATTTTGCATAAACTGGCATGCCCTGCCACTTATACACAGAAGCGAATGATAGGGGTGTAACAATATATGCTTTTATTTTGAAATTCCCAAGGCACGTCCGTGTCCACGTTTCTGTGCGTGGCTGCGCTCTGCGGCCGCCTCAGCAACATGGCAGACGAGGCAGAAAACACGGATAATGAAATCCGCTCTCTTGTTGGATTTAAATCAACGCTCTGGAAATGTTTCGGATTCCGACAGGACGGCTCAACAGACAAAACTCATGTCGTACGCAAAAGGTGCCAGCGTGAGCTCGAATACACGGGAAACAACAAATTTGGCCGTTCACCTGAAGAAGAAGCACGGCGTTAGCCATGTTGGCTCCGCCAGCGTTACTGTGTCAGACGCCAACTTCGACTAGTTTCTTCCCACCAAAGCTGAACAACAGCTGGAAAAGAGCAACGAGTATCACAGGTGCCATTTCATATTTCACCTGTAAACACACGAGACCGTACAGCGTTGTTGAAAACGACAGCTTTTATGAACTACTGCATACTCTGCAGCAGAGATATACAATACTGTCGAGGCAGCACTTCACGGAAACTTGTATACCAGGACTGTACAGGTCATTTTTATTTTTTCATTAATTATGAAAAATGGGTTTTTATTTTTTGTTATGCCTGGTGTCTGTAATAATAGAAATAAAATAGAATTGTTTTTGTAAAAATGTAAATGAGATGGGCATTTGATATTGCAATATATCAATCGCGGACTTGTGAATTGAATAGAATCGAAATCATATTGGGACAGATTATATGATAGAGAAAAATCGTATTGTCATACGAACAAATCAATTTAATATTGTATCATGGTGAAGCTGGTGATTTACACCCCTACGACTAATACACGTTTTCCTCCATTTTTATAAAACAATATTTGTCTGAGATCTGACGATTTCATTCATTCTGACGTGGAAAATATTGAACACTAACATTTTCAGCCGCTACAGGGTGGTCAAGTCATATGGCAAGCCAAGTGTCTCATTAATAGGTAAAAGTGGCTATTAATGAGACACTTGGCTTGCCATAGCAGCCGCCTTCGTCTCGCTCCGTAACTCCTGGAGCAAACGTCAGATCAGCTGCATTTTGTTGCACCGCCCGGGCGAAATGCAGCCGATTGGACCATTAAAGTGCATTTATTAAGGAAAAGTTCAACTGAGACACACATTTGCTACAATTTCGAGCAAACAAATAATTGTTTCTAAGTGTTGATCTTGTTAAATTCTTGTTAAAGTCCTCACGTGCGCGCTCCCGTGGCCGTAATTCGGCAGCCAATCGTTTTTTGGCACATCAGCCCACGTTTCCAGGTGGTCAGAGATGGAGCGTAATAGATGCGACCTATACGGCGAAGCAACATATTTATGTTTTTTCCACTTTATTAGACATTTTTGGACTGATGCGACGTGTACGGCGGCAAGTACGGTATGCCTTTGTCGTGTTTTTATGGCGCTTGACGAGTGTTAATAGTGCATATTCAGCTTAATAAAAGCACTTGTGTGTGCGTTAATGGATGCTATAGACCAAACAGCAGAGCAGGGATAATCCCTTCCAACCTTCTCTCTACAGGTTTCAGGATTAGCAGCTTGATGTGAGCTTTCCTTCCCTCCCTCTTCACTTCTCTGTGTTTCCCATCCTCACACTAACACCATCTGCCTTCACTGAGGGAATCATGATCCACCAGTCAGACCCTTCCTTTCTGACAGAATCCCTCTAGTCGTTGCCATTTGCACCGTCATCTATGCAGTTTTCACCCGTTTGTCATTTTACTTTGCATACAAGTAAATAAACCAGGTGCTGATTAATTCAATGTAAGCATTCATCACTGCAGATTGTCCCGTCATAAGAGACAATGTGGCTTTAAAGCAGAGAGCAATCTGGGATTTGACCTTTAGAGCTGCTAACAACTGGAAGCTGTTCACACTTGATGCTTAATTACACACTTTATCCAGTAATAATACATATTTTTATATAGATGGTCATTTTGGTTTACTAACATTTGTTTTATGTTGCAAGTAACTGATGAAAAATCTGTTTTCAAAGCATCTATGAGAAACCTCAACTCAAACTATGTATACTTCATAAATAACCTAACAAGTTAACCAGTTTGTGTTTCTAATGAATAACCAGTTTAAACAAATACAATAAGCCTATGTTAAGGATGAGTACTTTATATATATTTTTAAAGTTATAGAAAATTTGAGAATGAATGTAAAAGTGATTGTTTCAGTATGAATCACATGACTAATTTCTAATCAGGACATGATTTTATTCTAAGCACCTTAGTAAAGGCAAAAATTATCTGAAAATAAGTTTCCAAACTAATATATATTTTTAATGAATTTCACTTTCTTTTAAAATGCTCAATTGTTTTTTTTAAATATTTTATTTAAACGTTGAATTTTGACAAAGCCTAACTCACCTGATTTGTTCTGTGCTCAGGTGGGAATTTAAAGCCTCGACAAGAGTGTATTCGGTAAACGGAGGCATGTTGTTCCTGCGCTGGAGGTCGAAGTGAGCGGAGTTGGAGAGGGCGTGGACGCCCGCGTCCGTCCTGCTGGACACCAGCAGAGACACAGGACTGAGTGGTTTTAGCCGCTGGAGTGCTTCCTGCACAACAAGAGAAAGGATTTTGATTGATGAGTGTTCAAATGTTATTCACACTTTGGTTTTCATCACAAGTCACATGATAAAGGTCACAGTGGATCGTCGTCAGCTGTGATTTGTTTTTATTCCTGTGGGCAGAACGTGAAAACTGTGCACTTTTGTGTCAAAGAAAATCACTTTCAGGATCCAGATGAACATGAAACTTTTACATTACTCCTGGGGAGTCACACATTTTCATCTTTTCACTTTGCAATTGGCAGCCCATCTCCAGATACTTTTACCAAAACTTACCTCCAAGTGGTCCTGAACTCCTGTTTTACCAGGCTGATGTCGAGCCACGCTCACCACACCGCTGCAAAGATCACAAAACAAAGAGTCACCATCATGTAATTAAATGTGATCCCATGGTGCCATGTGACCTACCTGTACTTTTTCCCAATGTACTGAAAAAAGATTAGATAGCGCGCCCTGTTGTGCATAACGTCTTTAAATGTTTCTCCTCACAAGTTATAGTGAGAGTAAACTCTTAAAATAAAAAAACTAATCATACAGATGTAACTTTTACATGACAAACTGGAGTTTTGAGTCTTCTTTCCCTCAAGAACGTCTACCGGTACTTGCACATGCCTCTGCCTGTGTGCGCAACTGCGCATGCGTGTTCAAGCGCTGCGACGAAATGTCCTTGTAGTCCGGAAGTACAAGAGAAACGCCACTCACAGCTTCGCCGTACTGAGATGAAATGAAAACGGAGGTATCTTGTGTTAAATATCAAATCATACTTGAGATATAACAAACAAAAACGCCTCGGGTGACGTAACAACTGTATCCTGTTTAGTTTGTCTCACAAGTGAAACTACAGAGGTGCGTTCTGTCTAAAGACACTCGTAGCTGCACATTTACAACTTTAACATTTACCTTCAGTGCTCGAATTACAACTCGACTAAAAATGTAAACGTT